CTCGCCATTCTCCTCCTTCTCATCTTCTTCGGCCTCCTCCTCCTCCTCCTCCTCCTCCTCCACCTCCTCTTTTGTACAACAATAAAAGGGCTTAAATTCTTACCCCATATCCATGTTCTTCCCACGATCTAAAGAATTTGTAGAAAGTAGAGGGTTCGTGTCCCTGATTGACCACCCAGACCTTGAGGTCCTCGCTTTGTCTTAGAGACGGGTCACGGTCGATATACGCCTGGGGATAGGAATAAAGCAGTAGTGTGAAATGTCGTCATGGCCTGGGTTCCAACGCTGCATCATTCCTAATCTCCTTTGTCCACCTTATATTTACTCTCGCTTAAAAAATAAAATAAAAGTAAAAAATAAAAATGTTTCCTTTTGAAAAGTATACAACTAGTACCACTCAATTATATAGAAAACGATATAGATACAATTATTCAAAACAATTACACTGACAAGATACTTTTACGCCTAATTTTTTAGACCTCCTTGTTTATCTTTTGTGTGCCAAAGATTAGGACGGTTGTTATTTCTTCTTACTATATATTTACATAAAGCAATCGTGGACAACGCAGGTTAGATTTCTAATGAGAAAGTTCCCACTACCCTCTTCCTCGATGGAAACTTACGAATTCAAATTTCTTGTTAAATTTATGAAAACATGATTTTTCACCCTCTTAATTGGTGCATCATTCTGATGCGGTGAGGGAAATTTATTAGTAATTTCGATCTATTTTTTAAATAGCTTTTGCTTTTGTCGGTGGTAAAGATTGCTTGTGGAGTGACAGATTATTGAGTATAGTACTAGATTTTTTTCTAAGTTTAAAAAATAAAAATAAGTTTACTTGAGAGTCCCAGAGAGGTACGGGGTGAGCAAACCTCTATCCCAAACTTTATGGGAACCTGCACATGTTTTTTCTCCAAATAATTCTGAAATGTGGGTTAAGTCTTCTTACACAAGGTTGTGAATAGTGTACACTATTTAGACATGCCCATCTTCCAACGCTACCTGAATAACCGGAGAATACAAGCTGTGGTCTCTGTCGGCAACAGCACTGCCGCACCAAAGGTGAATCTGAGGATCACAAAATGTTGTCTATCATTAGTCACTGTCATTCTATAGGTTTAAAGCCCGTTTCAACACTTTCAACGCTGTAAGGTCATTTGCGAGATCGGACCTCCGAATTTAACGTCTACCACTGATAGGGCCTAGCTAAATGGAAGGAAAGCCTTAAACTCCCCTAAAACAACACAGGTTCAGAACACCCCGTCAAGGATTCGAACCATGGCCATCCACTCCGCGGTCCAGTATGACACCAACTGAGCTAACGGTGAGCCCAAAGCATGATGGAAAAGTTATCCGGTTAAAAGTGATGGAAAACCTATTTTATGTAAGAGTACAGCCCTTAGTTATTGATACTTCTTTTCTAGTTAAATACAACTAGATCAATAGATGTTCAGCTTTTATCTCATGAGGTAATCTCATAATATACCCCCCCCCCCCCAACCCATTATTAATATAGAAACTCTACTCAAAAGTTGCAAGTTTATAAAACGTATTATAAGATGGTGCCTATAGACCTGCTATTAAATGCACATCTCTAGAACTGCAAGTGAGTGTGGAATTAAGGCCCGCAGAAAAAATAGATGTGTACAGAATACTTTTGATGTTTCTTCAACTTAAATCTTAAACCTAATGGCCCTTCTATTGCATTCTTAATTAACCCATCTCTCTCTCTCTCTCTCTCTCTCTCTCTCTCTCTCTCTCTCTCTCTCTCTCTCTCTCTCTCTCTCTCTCTCTCTCTCTCCCTT